GGTTTTTGGTTTTGTGGAAACCTCCCCCCCTTTTTTTTTTTTTTTTTTTTTTTAAACGTTCAAAATCTGGTAGTGCTCTGTAGGAGAACACAATGCCTAGAATAAGTGCTATTGAAGAGAGTCTCAAGACCTGTGAGTCGATGTGTACTAGGACACTGCTGTATGACATGATGTATGATTTCAAGTAGGTATCTGTAGTATATGTAGGCTCTACATCGGTGTTGAGTGTTTTGTTTATGGTTATCTGGAGGTTCATTTGTGTCATTGTGGCAATTTGTACAATCCTTTGGAGTGCACCCTGTGTTTTGATGCAGTAGTGTTTTTTCTTGCTTTTTTAAAATACTGTCAGAATAAAGTATCTTTTTTGAGGTTTGTCAGGAGTCTACTAGGTACATTAACTGTGTTCCCTTGAAAAGAGGAGTAGGGTAGATGAGCTGATACTGTAGGTTGATGGACAGATATGAGCAATCTTTTGAAAGCAACTGCCTAGAAAATTGTCAATTCAAAAATAAATTAAAAAAGTCTTGTTCATACCAAAGTGAAATTTTCTTGAAGCAATGAAAGAAATATTTTTTTCTAGTTCATTGAGTTTTCTGTAGAAAGAATGGATATTGTTGTTCTGTCATGTTCTCAGTAACTGGAGCTTTAAGGAAAAATAAATAGGCAAAGCTCCCGAGTAGGTAAACGAAGAGTGATAGCAAAAGTTCCTTGGCAGCTCTGGAGACAAAATCGAAGTTCTCCAACCTACCCTGCAGGTAGGGTGATATTTCATCCCGCAGCATGGAAGATAATCTGTTGCCTTTTGTGAATGACGCTCCTCCTCCCACACAGGGAGGATGCAATCCTTTCTCTGCGCTAAAAGAAGAAAGTTCTGTTAACTGTTTAATGAAAACGGGAGACTCTGTCTATGCTAAAATTCTGTATATGTCTTCTGCTTTTCTTCTATAGCTGCACTATTATATTAAAACTCATTAGCTGTGTTCTCCTCGTTCTCAACTAATTAATAGTATTTGCACTTGATACCTTTCCCATCTACTGGCAAACCTTGTGTGTTGTGTAACACTTTCAACTAGATGCTTTATCTTTCTGCTCTTGCCTCTGATAAAAATGAAGGAGATCCTGGGCAATCCCCTTTGCAACAGTACTATAGTGAAGCAGGAGGTACTGAAAGTTGTGCCATCATTTCTTGTACATTCCTCTTGAAATGGCTGTGTGCAAGAGCCCCTTATTCCTCTGCCGTAGATGTGTTCCAGTGCATGAGGCAGAGATTGTTGAAAGCAGCCCCTCAGCCACTTCTCTTGTTTGAATGTGGAATGATACTGTCATATAAAGTTTAAGGTAATAAAACAACGTACGATTGAGCTAGAACATCATTTGCTTTGCTTGAAAGTGCTTTCCCTAGAGGGAAATTTATGAAGACCCTATAAACTTTGTCAGTGATATATTGTACAAAGTTATGTCCCTGCTTTCTTGTTATGTCTACTCCTTTTACGCCCATCCGATAAATCTTACTGTTGGGACTTGCATTTATGAAAAGAATTGGCAGGTGAGATGCATATTTGGTACCATGTAGCTCAGACCATTGTCCCACAAAAATCCTGTTTATGCCCTTGTGAGGAGCGCTGTTGTCATGAGAATATTTTGCAAGCCTCCATGCCAGTGGAAACTTTCAAATCAGCATTGTAATCTGAGCAGCTCCCTCACTTAAAACGCACTCAGAAGTTTAAGTTATTTTACCGGTGTAGATGTGCAACGAAATTTGAGATGTCTGGTAACTACACTAGTTTGAATTCTGCTGTGAAGGCATAGCATTAAACATTAATTACTTTTCCTTGTCTATTTCTTCCCTGGCCTCCCACTTTGGGTCTGAATTTTGGGGTGCTTTTCCATTTTTATACTGCACAGCATTAATTTTTATACCTTGCCAGTTTCTGTCATCAACTTTTCCTTATACATGGAGAGCTCCATCTAAGTTGCAAAACTTTTATTTTCACTCAGTATGAAATATTTTTGAGAAAAAACAGGACTCCGACCCGCTTCCCCCCCACCATCCTCCCATATACTCCCTGACTGCGGGGGCGCATTTGTTCTAGGAGTGCAAGGCAGTTTATTCTCGTGTCAGGGCTGTTGTTACGCTCTGACTTGAGTAGCCTCGGTGAGCTTTAAGTTGTTGATGTGTTTTGGGGTGAAAGAATATTAGGAAATGGAGCAGACAGGGCTTGTGTGTGTGTGTTTTTTTTTTTTTGTTTTGTTTTGTTTTTTTATAGATACCTTCACTAAAACGGGTTCGCTATTGTGGCTTTGGTCATTGGTGTCGCTGCTGCCTTGAACACTTTGTGTCTGGAGTTCATAAGCACCTTGCAGAAGTGTTGAGCCTGTGGGCCTTGGGTCTCTGCAAATAACCTCACCATTCTTTATCCTTAGATCAAAACGATGTGCTGAGTAAAGCTAGCTGGTAACAGTCAGCACAATTTCCTCAACCCCACGCCTTTCCAGGTCCAGGGGCCATGACTAGGCCACCCCAGATCACCTTCTCCAGCATGGTGTGGTGCCCCAGTGTACAATATGCTGGTGACATTTCACCTTCCCTTGATCTGCTGGAGCCAACCTGCAGGAGTAAGGTAAGTCCGTTTATTTTTCAATGTTGCTTAGTTCTGTAAAGTTTTTATTGTATACCCTATGTGTAACTTTTTAATCAGGGGTGAAAAACTTTACAAAACCATGTGCTATTGAAAAAGGACTTTCCCTTTAGCCATATGCAGCTCTAATTGGTGCTGTCACCAGCATATTTAGAGAACTAATTCCAAGAAAAACTGGTCAGTTCTTATAGGTGGTATTGACTTGAGCAGTGTGTGTGCATGTTCTGATAAAAGGATAATTAGTTCTTTGGAAAAATATATGATAGATTTTGAGATAGGATATATTTGAATATATTAAAATCTAGGTGTTGATTGTATGTTTTCTTGCTTCATAAAAATTAACATAAGGAGCATCGTATGTCTCATATCTGCAGGCAGGGAATATTCTCTTGGCTAGTGCTTGTCTTACATGCACAGTGTCTTCTGTGTGCCTGCCAATGGGATATTTCTGTTCATGAGTTACAGAGGAGCAGTGCTGTTCGTATCTTGAATATAATTTTAAGACTTTATTTTTTAAAATAAGAAATGACAACAATAGGAAGCACAGACCCTGTAGTGTCATATGGCTAGAACGGAGACTTCTAACACTTGGAGTATTACATCCTGAATACCTCAGACCCTATGGAAAGCAGGAATTGTGGAGAACAGTATTGGTTTGGAGTACTGTTTCCCCTTGTAGAGGTTTTTAGTCTTATGTTGGAATGTTTGTATCAACATATCTATAAAGCTTCAAAGTAAAACTTCATCCATACCTCGGAAGTTGTCTTACAGGTTATCGTTTTGGGCTCTTTGCAAGGCCTGGAACCATCTTACCGGGACCTGTAGGGCACCCATCTTCCTTTTTTTCATGTTTCACTCTTTGGTTTTGACACCTACAAGGAAAATCTTAACTTTAGAAGGAAGCTGATGTGTATTTTAGAACTTCAGAAAATCTTTTGTGGGATCATTCATCTTTGAAATAGTTACTCTGTTATTTTTACTCTCCACTTTTCTTATACCTATTCTGTGTCTTCTGGTGTGATTCATTTCAGTTCTTTAGACAATTTCTGATCGTGTATGTAGAGCATCGAGGATTACAAAAGCTCCATCCTTATAGAGGGTTTCTTGTCCATGTATTGCAATAGAGGTATGACGTCGCATCCATATAAACATCTATTTCTTAGACAAGCAAACTGACCAAAAATGGAAGAGTTAAACTCATCAGGTAGTTAAAAACTGAATTGTTAATTGCAGCTTCGAAAGTCTGCTTTAGAATCAAGAATATCTATCTCTTCTCGCTGAGACATAATGCAAACAAATTCAGTTTTTTTTGCTGATTATTTAACTACCCTAGATTCCTTTCATTTTCTCTGGCTTGATTATGAATGAATGCGTTGTCTTTTTATAATTTCAAAGTTGTAAAACTAAAGAAATGTAATTTTTGACTATAGCATACTTCAGTGCAGGACATGACTGTCAAAACTTGCTTGAAGCTTTCCATATTTGGAGGAAAATGTTCTTTTGAGTAGAAATAGAAAGGCACTAAAGTACAAGACAGAGTTAACTAGATAGTATCCTGCTTGTCAATAAATACTCCTGCTTTATTTTTTTTTTGTAGCATTTCATCTAGATAGAAGAAATTCCCCACCAAACAGCTTGACACCATGTCTAAAGATTCGCAATATGTTTGATCCAGTTATGTAAGTAAAAGCAACGAGGTGTCTGAATGTCTGCATTTGTTTGAACGTGTCTAATCCTTTCCTCAGAGAGGTTTGGAAGAAAGGAATGAACATGTTAGAAGAAACAAACCAGTTGTATAAAACCCTGCCTCTGGCACCTTTGAGTAGACAGAACTGTACTAGTTCTTTTTGTCCTGAATATCGTATCACATATCCCTGCTTTGTGTCTTTGGGTCAGCGCTCAAGGAGTGTTGCATTTAAATGAAGCATTTAGAGCAGTGGCCAGTGTGCCTCTTCTGGCCCTGTAAATGATTGCATCACCTGGCAGGGGAGGCTGTCACTGTCATGTGGCCTAGGCAGAACCCAGGCTAGGTTCTACAGTATTTTGAAGTGTTCAGACTTTTGTATAACTTGCAGAGTTTGCATTTTAAATGCTGTAATAAAATCACAAAATTTTATGTTTTAGGGCTTTGATTGCCTAGTTTTGAAGCAGATTTTTTTTTTGTAATAGGAAACTTTGACATAGAAATTAATGCAGTCTGTTGCTTCTAAGGCTTGGAAGTAATTCTAGAGTATGTCTTGTGTCTGAATAAGTAGTAAACCTTATTTCATGTACTAAACATTAAGACAAAATGATGTAATACACACGTTTCCAAGGCTGATACTTCAGACTAGTTCTAATCTGATGTCATGGACTGAATGTCTGTAAGCAACTGGAGTGTATTGATTGCCCCAGGAGTATGTCTTTTGGTTAAACCAAAAAAAAAGAAAATCTTTAATTTGCATGTTTTAAGATGTTTCAGTAATGCAAATCAAGCATGGAAGTGGGAATGAAGGAGACATATCCTTCAAAAATCAAAGCTAAAGTTTTCATGTCAGTTCTCCCAAGATGACCCATTTCTTCGATAACGTCATAGGTTAATCATTATTTATTCGTTTAGCAAATAAAACTGTAACGCTTCCACTTTTGTATGGCAATTTAAAAGCATATGTGCTTTTTTGAGTGTCCTGATGACACAAAATGAGTTGCATGGCAGTAGATGTACATTTTTCTAAAACTGGATTGAATCATAATCTCTGTGTGCTTCAAAGACCAGTGTTTCATATTGTTGGTAGAGCTAGTAGTAACACATCTGTACCTAGGTAGCTTTGTAACTTCTTTTTTTAAAGACAAGTGCCTAATTAAGTCTTTCATCATTTGCTTAGGGAAATAGGTGATCACTGGCATTTAGCAATTCAAGAAGCAATCCTGGAGAAATGCAGTGATAATGATGGAATTGTTCATATTGCTGTTGACAAAAATTCACGTGAGGTGAGTGTCTTTCTAGTGACTCCTTGATGCTTTCGTTCTCCCTGTCTGTTGGACTTCAAATCTCTCTTTCTTAATGCAGGGTTGTGTATATGTCAAGTGTCTGTCTCCAGAGTATGCTGGAAAGGCTTTTAAGGCATTACATGGCTCTTGGTTTGATGGTAAGATATTGGGGTTTCTGACAAATGTGGCTGGAGGTGGTAGAGCATGGGGAGCACTTGAAATGGCTTTTAAAATGTTCTGTGTCTAGTATTAAGCAGGGATGAAAACAATGGCTTTTGTTATATTCTAAAGCAAAAAGTAATAATTATCCTAAACCACGAGTTTTTTGTTTTGCTGTTTCTTTGCCTTGTAGGAAAGCTGGTAACAGTAAAATACCTGCGGCTAGACCGATACCATCACCGTTTCCCCCAGGCTCTTACTTGCAACACTCCCCTGAAGCCATCAAACAAACACATGAACTCTATGTCACATCTCCGTCTTCGGACAGGCACAACTAACTCTCAGGGAGGTTCCTGAGAAGACTTTCTACAACCGCTAGGACTGTTACTTGCAACAGGAGAATTCCTGTTTGGCTGCCGTCTTCCTTTTTTAGTGCTTTTTGTATGTAATACTTTAATGGATTAAATAAAAGTTTTGAACGTTCCAGAAATCTCATTTCCAAAGGGACTTAGCAGTGAGGCAGTAATACTGAGCTATGAAGAGAAGTTGCTTCAGGAAGTTTAGGGGGGAGGGGAGGGCTCTAGTAAACCAATGCATTTAAGTTTTGCATGAGGAATACCGAGTTCATTAAACCTTTTCAGATGTGGTGACTGTATTTTTGCACCAAGAAGTGTTTTTGATAATAACAAAAGCATGGAGAAAAGAAGACTTCCTGTATTTCCATAGTTTCCTGTGAAATAATCTTGTGGGTATTTTGTAACAACCAACCTACAGTTCCTGATGGTGAGTAACTTAAAACTTTTTGTTTTCAGTCAATATTAGGGTTTTGTTGCTGTAAAAGAATCATTTTCTGCGGCTAAGATATGAGGAAAGTTAACCTGGCATTGGTGGTTGCATATAAGTGTGAGGGAAAACAGGCTGAATGTGGATATACTGGGTTTTGTATATAAATTGTAGATGCTGGTGGTGGAAAAAATGGCTGTGTTATGTGAGGATGTCTCCATTGAAGCAATGAATAAGCTTCCTATTTTATTCAAAACCTAATGTTTTATATGGTTTTGGCTGTACCGTGACAAGAGGCCAAACACCTTAAAGTGTTAGATACAAGTTAAATATCTTTTATAGGTTTTATATTAAAATATCTGACTATGATTTTGTGTGAAAGGTCTGATACCAATTGTAATGAATTCAAATTTGTGAGCAATAAAGAAGCAATTGGCAGATACTGGAAAAATATTTTGTGAAAAGCTGTATTTATTACTACAGTTGCCAGGGCTGTGACAAAATACCATTGGGACTAAGTGACTTTCCAAATACAACTATAACTTGTTTTAATTAACCAATTTACCCATTGAAATTTAAAAAGGTACGTGCTTCTTTGCAACAATTTTGACTGGTGCAGACTAGAAATAATGGCAGGTGTTCAGCTGAAAGTAACTATTGTGATTCCAAGCCTGTACCTCTATTAACATTTTGTTATTAACTACAAAATTGTTGCTGAGAAATTTAGTTGCAAATCTAAGACTATTGGTTTTACTAATGCCCACTCCTACAACTCTGTTGTGTCTAATTACCCAGCTGAATATTCCATAGGTGGTGAGACTGAAAAGTGCAACAGTCCAGTGAATTTTATTGAAACTCACTTTATTTTGTAGATACAATGGATTTACAGCATGAACTTGCACAACTAATGCACGTTTTTCTTATGGTTAAGTAACATGCACACTATTCTGCAACAGAAAACCCTCTTGTGCCTTACCTTTGTGCTTTTGTGGGCACCATGTTTAATATTGGAGAGTTTGTTAACCGAAAAAAAAAAAAATTCTTAGTTTTATGTCTCAGATGCTAATGAATGAGTATATGTAATATATTATCAGCCATGCAGAACTCTACTTACCAAGGACAAGTACATATTTTTGATGGGTGAGTAGATTTTGTGCCAGGTCTGGTAGATTTTTGATGAGTTTTACTATATACATATATGTATAATATACATGTATATGTATTATATATGTATATAAACTAATTTTGTTGTATTTGATGTGCATCATAGTGATTTGTTAACCTTAGTGACCCCATCTTGTGACTTGTTGCAAGAGTGAATGTACAACTAGCTGTGGCATTTTAAAAGGTTGCCTTTTGATGCAGATGCATCTTTCTTGCTTCTAAAATATATTTCTTGTAAACACTGTACATTTCATTATTGTAATATGACTATTATGCAGCTTCTTTTACCAAAACTGTTGACTAATCTCCCTTCCTGTAAGACAGAGGGGAATGTGTATAATATCAGAACATTTGAGAAAAATCAAATATTTGATGTAACTTGTCACCCTGTCCTGTTTAAAAAAACTAAGCAAAACAAAAAAACAACTCAAAAGTTTTAGGAGTTTTTATATGAGCTTCACTTTCTAGATACTTGCATGTTTAAGTTGGATACTCGCTTTCATCTATGGTGAGGGGAAAGAGGAGGAATTCTCCATCCATCACCATGTTAGGACCTAACATTGGAGTAGGTGCTGCTTTGAGCTACAAAACACAGCTCAACTGCCTTGTTGCGCCGAAATTTCTCCTGAATTATTCCTGAGTGTAAATACGAGGTGTTTCCAAGGCCAAGATCAAGAATACCTTGAAGAGCAGGTGCTGCCCCTGTCCTTCACCTGAAGAAGGAGGCAGATGAAGAACCTTCCCCTTGTGTTTTGAGCATGTAACTTGCATTTTGAGACAGCACCTGGAAAGTACTCGATGAGAAAGGCTAGGACCAGGAGGGCTGTTTTTACAAAGAAGTGACAGAAGAGCCCCCCTAGTGTGTGGCACTTCTTACAGAAGGGGCTGCATTTTTTTTTTTTTTTTAATAGGACAGGGTCTTGGCTGCCTCTTTCCTCTCTGCGGTGGAAAGAAGGGCAAGGAGGAGGAAGGTCCCTTGTCCCAGGGAGCGAGGCCCTTTCCCCGGCTCGTTTCGGCCCCGTTCAGGATAACGCCCGCACGAGGCACTAAACTCGAGCGCACCCCCCCGGGGCCGCGTCCCGCC